ATGTGGCCTGTGTGAAGCCTCACCTTCTATTTTTCCTGCTTACTTTGTCAAGGTCTAGAACTGGCCATAAGTACAATTTCCAGGTATGGGTGAGCTTGGGCACTAACAGCCACAATGCAAGCTGTTACCTCAAATTAGGGATAAAACATGTACAGCCAAAAATTTGACTAGCCAAAGAAAGCCTTTCTGAAAAGATTAAAATATTTATTCATGGTCTGTACATTTAGATATAGGCTTTTCTTGGGCAGTGATGATGGCTATTTCTTGAATGGATTCATGAAGGAAAACCACATAATTCGTCATTCAAATGTAGATAGTCTAGAGAACAAAAGGGCAGCTATTAATAATTATGTCGGAACAATACAGGCCAGGCCTGTCCCAGAAAAACTCACATATGGTCACCTTAGATGGTCTCACAAGTAACTAGGCCATTAAAAACGTTTCCTGCCATATCAGAAATATGTGTTTGAGGCAAAGACACAATCACACATCATGAAAGAATGGCCGGAGGTAACAAGGGAGAAGAATGTAAAAGTCTTTAGAAATAACTGTTTTCCTGTTGTTAGAAATGGCTTACACAGTGCAACATTAGCACTCTTTACAAGCAGAGAACTTTGTGATTACAAAGAAAAGTCAAGTCCTTCCTTAGTGACTCAGGGGAAAAGGAAAGACAAGAGAGAAGTCAAAAGTGTACAAAGGGTGCTCTTTCCCTTTGCTTTTAAGTTTTAAAATTCTAAGTATCAGGGGCAGTCAGAAGTCAGTTATCAACAGAGACTATACAAAGAGAAGTGTGACATTTGTAGTCTTTGGCAGGGAGGGAGGAAGGGAGGGAGGGAGATATTTGTTCTTTTTGGGAACCGGTGATACCAGTTGGGTATCACTAATTCAGAAGTCCTAAATCCAAACCTTTCTGAGCTGACATGACTCTGCAAAATGGAAGGTCATCACGATACAGGTGCACTACAAATACTGCATGAAAGTATCTTCAGGCTATGGGTTTAAGGTGCTCATGAAACATAAATAATTTTTCTGTTTAGATTTAGGTGTCATTTCCAGAATGTCTTATTACGTACATGCAAATATTCTAAAATCTGAAAAAATTCCAAAATCCAAAACACTTACGGTCCCAAGCATTTTAGATAATGGCATAGGATCAATGTTTAAATAATTAACATGAGAAAAACCTAAAGGCTGTATTGCCCAAAACTTAAAATATTTTTTCTTGGCATGGTTCTACAACACGTAAGCAAGCTTAAGCTTATATAGAATTAAATTAGAGGGGAAAGAATTTCTTTTTGCAGAGTTTGAAAATATCTAACACATATTTTCCCAATTAAACATCAATTTTTGCACATGGAAGCTGAGAAGCTACCAGTATTCTAATTTACTTTTTTTTACTGTGCAGCTTCATGTATCCAAATGTCGAGATTATTTGCTGTGTTGTCTAAGGTAGCCTTGTTCAGGAATTCTTTCCTATGTACAGTATCTGTTTCTCCAATTTCACTGTAAAATTTGGTGATCAGAGAAGACTTCTCATGCACCCCTCTCATGGAGGGCCTCGCAGAGTTCTAGACACACACGGCGGGTTTTGTATGTTCCTGCTGCCTGGCATGGGGCCTTGAGCTGTCCCCTCTTGGCAATTCTGCCCAGGGCTCTGAAATCAGAGGCACTGCCCACTCTCTGGGTGTCTTTCTTCAGTTCCCACACAATCTGGAGAGGATCTCAGAAGACAGGAGGGGTTTCTAGCTTTCCTCTCCTGAGCACATACCTGTCACGTTCTGTTTCATGTGGCTCTGGTATCCTATGGTTGTCTTCATTTGTTTAAAATCACCCCCACCCCGGAATACATCTTTATTAAGATGTCCTGTGCATGCACATTAAAATGTCAGCGTAATCTAATTAGGACTCAAGTGAGGCACAGCAGCATTTACATCATTTGCTAAATTTCCATCCTTTGCAGGGGGCTGATGACTTGAATGGGAACATTTCTCGACAGCCTTCATGGAACAAGCATTTGGTAGTTCTCCACAGCCCAGACTTGTGGATGGAGGGGCATATTTTTATTTGGGAACTGCAGCCTAGTTTTGAAGGTGAATACAAAAATCTCTTTAGCTCAGACTTGGCTATAAAGAGGAGACATGAGGTCATTACCAGGCAGGGAAAATATCAAAAGACTAACAGTTTTGATTAGGATTCTCTTCCATACTTTTCCTGGCCCCACTGATTTGTTTTATAGGAAAAAGATTAAAACACATACGAATAAATAGATCCAAAGCTAAATGTTAGGCTTGTGATTCAAAAGAATAATAACGAAAGTGGTTCACAGGCAAAGTTTTGAACCCGGCCCTTTTTGGGGGTTTATATATGTTTTATGATAATTGTATTAAAAAATTAAAAATCCTGTTTTAAGATGATGAGAAGTAGATGAGCTTTCTAGCAGCTAATTTAAAAAAGAAATTGTTCTAAAGTTTTTAGTGAGGGAAAGAAATTTCTTCTTGGGAACAGGAAATGTACAGAGGGCAAAGGGCTCTCATTCTTCTAAGACACGTGTGCGCCCAGAGTGAGGGAACCGATGATCTACCTTGGTTTCCTGGGTCTTCGGGATTCAAGCTTTTCTTACCCTGACATGATTTCTGTGTTTCACTTACACTCCCTTCAGTGTTCTGAAATAGCAGGGTCGAGGAGAAGTAGGGAAAGCAAACGAGCACACTCTCTTTGGGCATGCTGAGAGTTGTGACCTGAAAACAGGACTCTGACCTCAAAAACATTAGGCAGAGCTGATGGAAAGCGGAGCGTGGGGTGCACCTGGAGAGAGGCCATGGTGACAGAGGCAGGGTGCGGGGGGCGGGCAGAAATCTGCTGTTCTTCAGCTGCACAGGGAAAGGGGTGAAGAGCTGCCAGGGGAGGAGCGGAAGGAGACCAGGAGGTGGAGGCAGACTGGCTTGCTGGGGTCATCACGCTGCAGGGGCAGGACAGAGAATCAGACTTCTTCCAGGGTTGCCAGGGGGTCATGGGTCTCAGACAACCACAGAGAGGAGATGGGGAATAAATACCATCATAGCCTTTGTCCTGGATAACAAAGCTCTGCACTGGTGAAGAAACCACCAAAGAATGAAAGCAAATGACTGACAGAGACAACATCAGAAGGGAGCATCTCCTAATGCTTCCTCCATCTAACCAAAAAGTAAGCAAGGCAAAGGCACCAGGACTGGGCTGCATTTTAATAATCCTGCAGTGTGTTTTCCTCCTTCAAAGTTGGAACTTCTGTGGTATCTTGCTGCCCACTTGTTTACATTCTTATTTCCCCACTAGATTTGTGAGAGCCAGGCAGAGTGCTCATCTTTGGTACTGCCCCTCGGTGCTGAGAGCAGAGGGGATATAAATAATAAATAAATAATAATTAATAAATATTGCCTACCGAAGGAGAAAAGGTCTTAAGAACTGTGCTGATACCTTTGCAAAAATTTTTCAGTGTAGTTAATGCTAATACCCTAAATTCATACCCTATATTTTACTGCTAGAAAATGCTTACTTTGTTCTTCCTCTACAGTAGCTGACATTCTAATGACACAATCCTCTAAAGATATTTCATTTGTTCATCCCGAAGGGGAAGAATGAAACAGTAACTCTGATGCAGCTGATTATTTAAAAGTGTGGGTATAGGTTCATTTTGGTAAAAATGATCTCTCAAAGGCCTGCTGTCCTATTTTATCAACAAAAATTACTTCTACAAAGTGTTGGAGAGGGTGGGGAGAAGGAATTATGCCTGCTTTTCCTTTTACCACATGGGCACATAACATTCAGTCCCTGAGCTCATCAGAAGAATAAGCAGATTTGAGATCCTCTGAGACCATACACAACTGAAAACTTCCTTTTCATGCTTCAGATAATAAAGTTGGAAACAAGACGACGGCGGGACATTAGAGGAGAGGAGAGGAGAGGAGATCAGCAGCCTGTACATGGGAGGACCAGGGAGTAAGCCCTTTTCCAGGCTAGATTCCCTGGTCATGTGTTCAGGCTCTTACTACCCAGTGTATGACACAGTCAGGCCATTCAGACTCCTGTTCTCCAACAGAGGCAGGACATGACCTTAAGGCAATGGAAAGAGGCATCACCAATGCAATACAGTATTAAAAGCCTTCGTTTTCTATTATTTATAAAGTGCAATGAAATAATTCTACAAGACCTTCAACCAGAATGGCAACTGCAGACGAGATATTTTAAGACAATGTTCAAATGGACCCAATTGCATTAAATGAGAAGCAGAAGAGCTGGGTAGAAATGATCAGAAACTGGCTCTGCCCTGCCTTTGGAACCAGCTGATTAAGGGCTGTGAGCCTCAAGGACTTAGCTGACATTTTACTCTGGGCTCTGACTTCTTCAGTGACTGCCGTCAAGGGCCTCAGAAAAAATCCAAGCTTTGCTCAAGATTGGATTCCACAGACTGAAAATTCCCAGGGTTTCTTCTTTGGTGACTTACATAAATCTAGCAACTGCCCTCATTCCCCAATTCCCAATTTTCTTTGAGGATTTAGGGGAAAAATAGGAAATAAAATTTGAAAGCAAAAGACATAATATACTTACTTTTACAATCAACAGGGTTTTTAAGTCAATGCGAATAAAGTTTCAGTTAGATTGGAGGACACTAAGCGAGGTACAGGACTACAGTTAATAATGTATATTGCAAAATAGTTACAAGAGAGGTTTCTAGATGTTCTCAGCACAAAGAAATGACAAATACTTGACATGCTAATTAAGCTGCTTTGATCACTCCAAAATGAAAACCATCGTATTGTACCTCACAAACGCATGCAATTATTTGTCAATTAAAAATAAACAAAACCATAAAATGGGGAAAATAAGCTTTTAAGAGAATTTCAGACCAGCCGATTCCTCCTCAGAGATAGTTTTGCACCTCAGAATATAAAATCACGCCAGTCCTTTGGGCCTCAATATGTCTCCTGGTGGGGCACCAGCTGGTTTTGGGGGCTTTCACTTACGCCTACTTTCATAAATGGCTCTCGACTTCTCATAGAGCTCGTATGGGTCAGGCTTCCGTGGGTCAAAGGCCTCTGTTGAGTCCGGAAAGGAGCTCCTGTGGAGGGCAGGTGGAAAGGGCAGGTTCTGTGGAACGGCCGGAGCGGATAAACTGGTCTGTGGACTCCCGTGACTCTCCCATCGGTCCATCATCTGTAGAGCGGGGGAGGGGGGGGACACAACAGAGAATGTGACTGAGGAACTCATATGCTCCCTGCTCATTTCCCTCGTCACCTTTAAGCCACACTTTCCCGCCTCGTTCACTTCTCTTCCAAGAAGCAGTGCAAACTCCAGCATACGTGCCTTACCAGAAAATACTCTATTTCTACATAATAAAGCATCGTAGTCACTTATAAATAAAAGCAGTGCCCTCTTCAGAGTGGAAGCATATCTATAACCTTTCCACTTCTGAGCCAGTGATCTTCAGCAGGTCCCTTAATTTATCTGAGTTTTTCCTATGAAATAAAGATAGCATGTACCTCAAGATAATGTATGTGAAAGTGGGGGGAAATGTAAGGCATTGTATTTTCCTTGTCTAAGAGGGTCCCAATTTATTACATCACTTTCCTAACACAGAAGGTAAAGAAGTCCATGCATATTCATTTGCATCCACACACATCCCAGGAGCCTCCTGTCCATAAACATCCAGTCACTTCCCTCTGGATTATAAGTAATTCCACAGCCATCTGGGATGCTGGGGCTGTTCAGTTTTCTAGGAAACTGCATTTACTGCTGGCCTGGTGACGTCTCCCCCAAGATCTGCTGCTGCTGTTGGTAACCCTTTCCCTGTGGACATGATCTTCTTTTATCCTCTTTTACCATAGCATCACAAGGTAGATAAAGCAAGGACAAACACCAGTCTCTTTTCAAGAACAAAGCCAGGTTTCCCAAGGCTGGCTGTTGTCACCACCAACTTCACCTCCATCCAGCTATTAACTGATGTTGCATTCAAACTCACTTTCTGCCTTTCTGCTCTGAATACACCTGGAGTGTGTGTAAAAGTTAGATCAAGTTATCTTTTTGCCTACAACTCTGCACTGGGTGAGCATGGTCCTCAGGACCAAGGTTGAAGTCCCTCGTGGGTGTGGCACCCTCCTCAGGACCTGGGTGCTGTGTCCATTGGTATCTCTCCTGACCATCAGGACCCACAGGGTTCACTTCTGGCCTGGAGCTTTGCATACCACATTTCTCCTTCTCCCTGCAATGTTCAGCCCACTTCTCCTGCTCCATCCCCACCCACTCTCACTCCCTGTACTAGGTTCCGACCAGGCATTCCCTTTCCTGGCAGTCTCTGCTGACCACTGTGTCCATTCTGGGTGCTCCGACTGCACCACGTTCCTCATGCCCGGCTGTGGGGAAGCTTCCACCTGTTCATGTCTCCTCAAATACCATGTGCTGGGGACAGGTGCTGTGCCTCTGCACTGTCATACTGCAGAACATAGGAAGTGCTCAGGAAATGCTCATTTCTCGAGTGCGTAAAGTCTTGATTAAAATAGGAACACCTCGTAAAAAATTAATTTTGACACACAATGCATTGCATTTGGCAGGATCCTAACTTGCTGTCTTCTACTTCACTGTCCCTTTTTTTCCACAATGGCTTTATTTTGGTCAGGGCTCTGACTATCACTCATCAATATCCTAAGGCTGCAAAGGATGGAAAGGACCGTGTAGCCTGTGTTTTTCAGACTGTGCATTCACATGCCCTGTGAACACCAAGGGCCCCTGTAGCCCACCCATCTGGGAGTGGGATAGGAGTTTGGGCAGGAAGATTGGGTTTAAATTGTTTTCTATATGGGCTACTGCCCAAGATTTCATTAGAAGTTTCTACAGCTAATGAGGATGGATGAGCCCTGGTCTTGTTCAATTTCCTCATATTAAACATGATCTGCAGAAGCACAGGGAGGGCAAGTGGCTTGTCGGAGCTGGTGACAGGCCCTGGTGACAGCCAGGCCACAAATAGCCTAAGCAGTTGACATCATAACACCCTGGTGAGCAACTGGCCAATATAGTCAGGGTTCCTGCTCCTTTTCTGCTCAGTGGGCCTTCTGCTCTCATTTAGTAAAAATCCTTCCACATGTATTTCATAATTCATTGAACAGCAAGACCCACATAGGAAGCGATTCTGGTTTCTTTGGTCATTCATCCTAGATGATTTGCTGTGAGGCAGACGGCCCACATTTGAGCCTTTTTTTTTTTTTTTGGTTCACTTTAACTGACTTCCAGCACCACGTGGATACATTCTGGCTCTTACTTCCTCACTCTGGTTTCCAAACTTAGGATAGTAATTGCCAAAACATAAGAAATTAGAAATACGGCCTTAGGTGCTGTAGTACCCCACTTGTCCACATGGGGTCTCGGTAAACGTCTATTTCTCCCCGAGGGTTATGGATCCCTGCACGTGTCGTACAGGATATCTATTGTTTGTGCACAGTAATCGAAGGAAACATGCTTCAGGTGAAATACTGGTATTTCTAAAAACAATTGTAAACTACAGAACAAATAATACTTTGGGCACGGTTTGGGAAAGTTTTTGTGGCAGATCGACAAATTCTACCACTTTTATAGCACAGAGATGGGGAAATTAGTCGAGTTCGGTTCATGCTTTGTGAAGCACTCACAGCTTCTTGCTGTGACATTCTCAACCCTCCACACACTCCGTCAGGTCAGGGTTTCTTAAAAAACTGTAAAGCAGAAAATCACTGTGCCCATGAAAAAGCAGACTTACAACCAACGCCCTGGCCCTGCCCTGCTCCCTCCAAATGAAGTTTCCTGGTTGGTGCCAGCCCAGGAGACTATGGGGTGAGCCACAGCCTGGTGGGAGGTCACCCCTTCGCTGGATCTGGTGGATGGCCACACTGCACTTCTTGGAGGGCAGCTTCTGCTGACTGCTCCCTACTTCCTTAGGTACCTTGGTCTCTGGCTTTCTGCCTTCTACCTGGGACACTTGCATTCCTTCGTTCACGAACCTCCTGGATTCTGCTTCTGTCCTTTGCCCAGCGGCCCCAGCCTCACTTGCTCTCTGATGCATCTTCCTAGTGTCAACCTCTCTAGAATGTGCTGCTTACAAGCCTCTTCTCTCTCAACTAGGAGTCATACTGGGCTTTTCCTGTTTGGTCCCAGAGGTGACCACATATGGGTGAAGGTAAACATCTAACCAGAGTAGGGAATAACAGAGGTGAAGTTGTATTTTATGTCTGAGAGAGGACTTGTATCTTTGCTGGCTTTAGTGAATGAATGAATGGATGGATGAATGAATCTCTGATAGTATGAAAGGTTAGTCATTGAAACATCTGAGGATAGAGTGACCATACCTATACATCCAATGGTAAATAGAAAGACCCAATCATGATTATGATTAATTTTTTAAACCCAGCTTCTGATTCTAGGCTGTACACAGGGAGTAGAGTGTCAGAGTCTGTCCCCTATACTCTGTCCCGAATTTGTTTTCTTCCTTTGGGATACTGTAAATACACTCCCATCATTATTTTAGGTGGGGTTCGGAGATGAAGGCATTTGGCTTGATTCTATACTTGAAAAATGAACTTTGATTCCTTCCAGATTTTTTTTGGGGGGGCTACTGGATATCAAACTCAGGACCCTGCACTTGCAGGGCAGGCGGCAGCACCACTGAGCTAATTTCCTGGCCCCAATTCCTTCCAGATTTAAAAGAATGAAAACTCACTCTGAGGAGTACATTACTTGTTAAAGAGGAAGTGACTGTCTCGACATGGATTAGCTCAAGATGTGGAATAGCAGGACAGGAGAGGGTCAGTGAGTGACAGAGAACCAGGAGGTGGTTAAATCTCTCCCAGGATAATATTTCCTGACTCTGACCAAGTATGTCACCAATTCTCTTCAAAGGAGAGTGTGTATAAATCCAAATATTGGGGGTGTATTGTATATTTGTTTCAATTAATTCAGCCACCCAGGTTCATTTCATAGAGTGATTTATTTATAAAGGGCTTATGTGCAGATGGTCTGACTTCTAAGGGGTCAGTGGTTTATATTTCTGAGTTTAACATGCAGAGGCACTCTTTTAAGTATCTTACATGGATTAGCTCATAGAATCCTCACAATAGCCTTGGGAGAGGGGTATTAGTATCTTCATTTTACAGATGTAGGACTTGAGATGCTGAGGACTTTAGCAGCTATTTCAAGGTCACACAGTAGGTAAAGAGAAGTAAAACTTGAACCTAGGCAATACGTACATCATCAGAGTCTGCACCTTTAAAGATGAGACCATATGTACGGCTGCTCGTTATAGCTCCCAGTCTACAGGGTTTCTGGTAGATACATGCAGGACATTAAATCAAAATCATTAAATCAAAAGCTCTCATCTTTACTCAGCCTAAGACCTGGAAGCCCAAGCCTTACTTTTTGTGAATATGCATGGGCACAAGATTAATTGTACACTGAGTTCTATAAAACCTTTTCTGGAATTATTGACTAGGGTGTAATTACTATAATGACAGCAAATGCTGCAATTACGTCAAATGACATAATTTGTGTAGTAAATGTGGTACATATAAGGAAATCACTAGATTGCATAATTGTTGCGCCATGTTGAGATTGCAAGGTTGCCTGTTAAATTAGGTGAAGATGTGTAGAACCCCAGAGCACAGATTTAAGTTTGGTGGTGAAAGGATGTACCCAGTTAGAAGCTGGACAAGATAAATCATTTCCAATATTTAAAATCACATGCATCACTAAGTGATTTATGAAGCCTAGACAGGGCTGCTTTGCCTATCTGAAGATTTCTGCATATCAAATGAGCCAAATCCTCATGGGGACATGGCTGGTGAGTGTCCTGCTTTCCCACAGTTACCTTCCACTTGTGGGACTTAGACATTCCTGTCAGGACGAGGTGTCCAAGGCACCATAAAATGGGATCCCAGCAAACCAGGCCCAGTACTTGGGGGTTGGGCAATTAATAGTGCTATGGTTTGGACGCTGAATGTCTCTCCCTGCCCCCAGGCTGATGTTTATTTTTATTTTTTTGGGTACTGGGGATCGAACTTGGGACCTTGCGTTTGCGGGGCAGGCGCTGGAACCACTGAGCTAAATCCCCGGCCCCCCAGGCTGGTGTTTAAAGCTTGGTGCCGCTGGGGTGATATTGGGAAGTGGTAGAAACCTGCAGAGGTGGGGGCAGTGGGAGATGCTTACATCATGTGGGTGTGGCCTTGAAAGGGACAGGACTTTGGCCCCTCCCTCTCTTTGCTCTTCAGCTCACGATGTAAGTAGCTTTGCTCCGCCATGCTCTGCTATGAGGAGCTGCCTCACCATAAGTCTAAATCAACACAGCAAACTTATTATGGAGAGGCCCCTTCACAACTGGGCCAAAATAAGCTTTTCTCTTTATTGGTTGTATGGTTTACACCTAAAATGTCTCCTAAAAGTTTCATGTGTTCACAGGTGGGACTTCAAGCAGGTGATTAGGTCATGGGTGCTATACTCATCAGTGGATTAATCATAGTTGCATGTGCTGTTAGGAGTGTGGCCTGGTCGGAAGAGGTGGGTCACTAGGGCTGTGATCCAGAACGGTCTATTTTTGTCCCTGGCTCCTCCCTTCTCTCTCTGCTTCCTGGACGCCATGGGTTGAGTTGCTGTCCTCCACGGTGCACTCCACCATGCTGTTTCTCCCTGGCACCAGCTGACCATGGACTGAACCCACTGGAGCCAAATAAATCTCTCTTCTGTTAAGTGGTGGGTGTCAGGCATTTTGTCCCAGTGATGGGACAGTGACTAAAACATTAGTTTTTTTTATTATCTCAGGTATTTCTTTATAGTGCTGGAAAGCTGAGTAACACAAATAATTCCAATTTGAGGGGCCAGGGATTTAGCTCAGTGGTTCTGCCGCCTGCCTTGAAAGCATAAGGACCCGAGTTTGATCCCTGGCACCAAAAAACAAACAAAAAAATCCAAATAATTCCAATTTAATGGGAAATAAAGACTGGTTCCAATGCTAATCCAACTTGGCTCACTGATCCTTACAAAAACATCACTAAAACTCACTAGCCTCATACATTGGCATAAAACTTTCAGCATGTTACATAAGGGGCTTAGACTCAGAAAGTTTAGGTGATGGCAGAGATCACCAGTATCTCAAGAAGATTCAGAAGCACCATTCTGAGCGATTATCAGATTTACTATACATATCACACAGAAGTAATATGTAATACATATTTAGGGTATTTATTACACAGAACTAATATATTTATACACAGAACTAAAATAAATACATGTATATGCACAGAAAGTTAAATATATGTGTGAACTTATATTTTATTTAGCTCTCTAGCCACAAATATATACATATATTTAGCCGAGACACTAAGATGTAAATATAAATATATAAGTATATATGAAGTTAAATTTCTTTTTTTTTTTTTTTTTGGAAGTTAAATTTCTTGTAGCTCAGATTTAATTTGTAAGGCAAGACCTCTGAGCCCATATTTTACATTGTTTCTAAGAATTCTACCTTATAAAGATAATATAGTGTGGGGCTGGGGATTTAGCTCAGTGGTTTCGCTGCCTGCTGTGCAAGTGCAAGGACCAGAGTTCAATCCCCTGTACCAAAAAAAGAACAAAAAGATAATGTAGTGTGTATGACCGCAGAAAAATAAAAGATTTTAAAAATATTTTCATTATATCAGACTAAACAGTGTGTTTATTTTTAAGGATATTCAAAAATGGGAATGATCATCTTTATATGAAAGTAACATGAGCTAGTCTTTGACTTGAGGGAAAAATATGAGACCAGAGAGCACAGAAAATTTGTTCTCTGACATCATAGACTCTCAGAGGTGGAAGAGATTTAAAGGTCATTCAATTCAACCCTCATTTAATGAGATTATATGGTAACTTGAAATAAAGAAAGAATAACAATTCCAACTCACAGGCTTTGGAGTTTTCCATGGAGAAAAGAAACCTGTAACAAAGAAAACAATATTTGAACTTTGAAAATATACCCCGCTACCGTTAATGGATGGTATATTAATTCTAATCCACTTTAAAATAGTTAACAGCAACAACAAGAACAAATTTCTGCATGACTGTAAAATTATTTTTGAGGTGCTCAAGCCATTTCATTAGAATTATATTAATGATTCTAAGAACATTTCCTTAATTGCCAACTGAGGATTCTGAAACACAGAGAAGGCAGTTGATTACGTGACGTGACTTCAGAAGGCCCAAGACTGAGTTGTCCTTAGGGATTTCATCACTCAGGCTTAGCAGGAGACACAGTCCAATACAGACAAAACTTTAGATTTACCTTTGCTCAGTGGAAGACATGATTCTGCTTTATGTAGCTATTTTGTGTAGTTAAATCAACAAGACTTTGATGTTCCTAAACTTAAAAACAATGTTATGTATGTTTACTATAAATCAGACCCTACTGTAAATTTTTATATGACTTCCCCCACTGACATCTTCTGTAGTGCAAATTTTTATTTTATTTTATTATCCTTCTATGCCAGCACTAGTGTAATGTTTCATACAAAGAAGCTCAAAATGTTTGCTAATTGAATGAATAGTATACCAGTGAAGGCTTTTTAAAAAACTTGAGCCTTGTCTATTACCACAAATGATATGATTAGACAGACTCCATTAAAGATACATTAATTCTCTTTATAAAAAGTATAGTTTTATCACATTGATTCATTTTTTAAAAAGGCAGTCAAAACAAGTCCCAAAATAAAGGAGGTAGCAGGGACTGACATACACTGGTCTTAACAATCTAAAACTTAATCTAGCAGATAAAATAAAATTACTTTCTTCTCGTATCATATCCTCCCTCTTTCGATAATTTTTTGCTCAAGTCAAAACTAGGTGATTTCTGATAAATGTTCAATAAAAATGAAATATTGAAAATATGCCACCCACTATGTTTATCATCTTGAAAACAGATGTTCAAAATGGGAATAGTTGAGAACCAAAACCCATTTATAGGAGAGATCTACAGAAATCTGCACACACAATTACCTAGACATTTAAGCAACGCAACTCAAGCACTGCAAAAATACTAATGGCACCTTATTGCACCATTATAATGAACTGATGATTTCATATGAAGAGCGAAACTATATAATTCATCACATTTCTCAGCTTTTCTGGGAACCCAGAGTTAAAGTGAATGCTCACACATAACAACCATCTTAATCAAGAACCTTGGGTAGAGCTAGCTCTTTTTCTGTCTCACACACTTGATTCTTACTTCTCTTTTTTAGTAATGAAAAGAATTCTTTTCAATGTGTGATTTGATTATAATTTAATTATACGGATTTAATGATATCCTTTTTGGAAAGAGCTAAAAGTAAAAATTATAGATAAATGAACACATTTCTCTTCTGGACTCTTTCTGTAAAATGTCAATGAAGACACAGGAGGTGAGCTGCTCCCAGTGCACAAGAGGAGGCTTCTGGGCCATGTTACCACCTCTCCTGGCACACAGGAGGTGAGCCACTCCAAGCTCACAAGAGGAGGCTTCTGGGCTGCCGGACCACCCCCACCAGCAGAGAGGAGGTGAGCTGCTCCCAGCACACAAGAGGAGGTTTCCGGGCCACAGTACCACCCCGCCAGCACACAGGAGGTGAGCCGCGGGGGCACCAGCAGCACCCCCCCCC